GGTCAGACAGGTAGAGGGTCAGACAGGTAGAGGGTCATACAGGTAGAGGGTCAGACAGGTAAAAGGTCAGACAGGTTTACTGGTCTGTGACTGTCCCCCCTCTCACCCTCAGGAAGCTGTCGAGCGCCCCGTTCTCCATGAACTCGGTGAGGATCATGACGGGGCAGGAAGTGGTGATGACTCCCTCCAGGTGGATGATGTTAGGGTGCTGGAACTGTCCCATGATGGACGCCTCCGACAGGAAGTCCCGCCTCTGCTTTTCCGTGTAGCCACCCTTCAGGGTCTTAATGGCCACGTAGTTCTCCTTCCTGCCTGGGATCCTCAGCCGACCACGACACACCTCGCCAAACTCACCTGTACAGGTATACGGCACAGGTTACATTACTTTTACAATAGTTACAATTCAAATGGAAGAACACACCTGTATTTCGCTGGGGATAATTTATTCAAATTTAATCCCCACATTAATGATAAAACATGAAAACATTTCAGATATACTGAACACAACACTGTCTGTGCACCTGTCCTCACCTGATTCAGGAAATGGGAAGACCTGACGTTCCACAGGTGTATTTTCCCAGGTGTTTGTTTTCTTCAGGCTTATTGTCATAGAAATATCTAATATGAGAAAAGAAAAGCCACCTGGCCAAATTCACCTCCACCTGTAGGCTGGAGGACAACAGCCTCATACCTCGTTTTCTCTAATAGGTAAAGGTAAGAGGAGGAGGTTTGAGGGGATGCTGGCCAATCAGACAGAGCGGGGTCACGGGAAACGAGAGGGTGGAGCTTAAAGTGAGCTTAAAGGTTCAGGTTGATGTAAATCTGGAGGTGCAGATCGGCTGACAGCAGAGCCCCAGAATGCAAACACAGACCTGCCGCTGAGCGTCGTCTAAAGTGAGAGCAGACCGAGTCCACGCCGGCCGGAGGCAGCGAAGTTCCCCTAAGTGGAGGCAGATCTTTGCGTCCTTTGAAGACGGAAACAGTAGAGGACCCACAGCAGAACCCTGAGGGACTCCACGTGTCAGAGCAACTAATGAGGTCACGCGGTCACCTGAAAACAGCCAATCGCAGCAGGGCCGAACCCCCGACGCCGCGCAGCCCCATATCTACTCAATAAAGAGGACTCGTGTTATTGATACTGGAGGGGTGTAGTGTTCCTTTAAGGCTCATTAGCGCATACCAGCACGTCAACACCTCCCTCGGCACTCACGCACATGTGGCCCGCGTGTGTGTCTGAGCGCGCTCGCCAGCCGGCGGTGAAAAGTTTGCACCCTTGTTTCCGCAGCAACCGCTATCCAGTTACATCTCACCAATGTCATCACTGAGAGCACTACTGTTACAGTAGCTGCACGCACACTCAATCAATCACGCTCTCTCACGCCCTCGCACGCACAAACGCGCACGCGTCGTGTTTACTTTTAATAAAACTGGGTTCATGACGGAGAACAAATGACATCTGATGTTTTCTTTCAGTGTGAACACAGCTTCGCCTCATCATGGGAAAGTTAACGTTCCGCTCTCCAGGGGGTCAAAGGTCACAAACACATCTGGAAGACTTTACAAAATAAAAGTCCTATTAAGACCCATAAGTTTGTTTTGGCTTTTCAGAAACAACACAAGATAGTTGGGCCTTTTGTTGTCGCGCTGCTGCCTCCGTGCAGACTCCCTAACAAAGCTCCAGCATCCAAAAATGCTTCCAGATCCCAGAGAAATTCCTCAACATTCCCAAAATATACTCCACCATATCCACTAATGATGTGTTCCTGAATCTTTAATGATTTACTTATTACAATAATCACCAAACCATTCAAAGGTTTTTGGCATTCCCAAAAAAGCTGACATCTCTAAAACCTTTAACTGCACAGACGTTCCCTCAAAAGGTTCCTGGAGTCGGAAAAACTCTCTTTGAGCATTCTCAGTTTCTTTTAAAACACCCGAAATGGTCTTAATGGTTCCTAAAAAGTTTTTTTGATGGGCTTTCTTGGAGGGCGGAGTTTGACCGCGGCAGACGTTTACACCACGCAGACACACAGGTGGGGGTTACCTGCTCCGATGACCTCTTCGATCTTAACGAAGGAGGCGTCGATCTCCTTGGCGAACTCCCTCACAGCCTCATTCGGGTCCTCGTAGGTAAACGGGTCGATGTAAACCTTCATCGCTACAAAAACAGCACAATCATCATCGTCAGTCGGCCGCGTTCATTTAAAAGCGTTTGCATCAGACTGGCTCATTGGCCGAGTTGTAACTCTGCCTCTGATTGGCTGTCGGACTCACTCTGGCCCATCTGGTAGTGCCCGCTCTTGTCGTGGATGTGCGCGCTCCTCTTCCTCCTGGTGACAGACAGACAGGTACAGACGGTGTTTAGATTCAGAGCAGCTGCGGGATTCTGGTTTCCTCAGGAGACACACACACATCCTTTGTTCTGTCGCTCTCGCAGGAATGTGATTATCTCGCCGTATCTCGCCATCGCTCTCACAGTGTCGAGTTTCTCCATCTTAATATAGTCGACATGTCCCACCCTGCTCTGTGTGTGTGTGAACCTGAGGTCAGTGTGTGCTATTGTTCTGCAGAGGCGAGCAGGGAGGGCGCATCCTGAACACACGCACTCACCGGTAGCAGAACACGCCAACTATGGCCGCCACAGCGAGCACCAGTATCCCCAAAGAGGCCGAGACTCCAGTCGCCATCAGCTGGGACG